ATTGATTGATTGAACTTTTTAGTCCCACCCAGTCTGCCGTTACCACCGCAGCCACGCCCAGCCAGTGGGCCACACCCAGCCAATGGCCACACCCACCCGGCACCCGACGATGCATAAGTGGGTTTTGGGTTGCAGTTTGAGCACTCGCTCTATAAAAGGTTCACGATCACTGAGTTAGACTGCTTATCTTCAATAATCTGACCATAACAATATCAACCTTTAGTACAGAGATATAGAGAAAAGCTAGGAAAGATCTCTTGGGTAGTAAATCCTCTGGTTCAACACAGTACACATAATGCTAAGCTAGGTTGTGTTATAGCTATGGTTTGCTGAACAAGCCATAGTATCTGGATTTATACCCACTTATGTGAATCATCAAGCATAGTGGCTGGGTTCTTACCCAAAGTACTGAGCCAGGCAGCTGTTGCTTATTCAGCAAAACGTGTCTTAAATTATGGGTTAGCAAATGTCCAGACCCAACTTGAAGGAAAAATGGTCTTCCATTTACACATTACATCTGTGTAAATCTGCTGAATATTTCCAAGCACCCCTTTAGGTCCTATGCTCTGTTTCCATGATGGCAAACAGATCCTTCCAGAGAAGTCCAGCAATATAATTACTATATGTATCATGTAATTACTACATCTATCATAGTGATTAGCCGTAGCCTTCCTTGTAGTGTATTGGAAACTCAGATTGTGCTGAATTCACATGGTCTGCCAAACTATAAGGTGATTTTTGTAGGTTTGTGCTTAGGGAATTGTCCAAACCCAGCCAATGTGGTTTTTTTTTATTTTTTTAAAAAAACCCATGGCTTATATTTAGTGTATTTTACGAAGCAAGCCAGCTTTGGTTGCAAGTATAAACCATGGTGAACCATGCCTTTGCACGCTGCGCGAGCACAATTGTAGTGTGTCAAGGAACAGCTTGACTTCCTTACATCCCCTTTCCCCCCCCCCACACACACACACTCCGCAGAACTTTTCTCTTAGATGTGCAGTTGTGGTTTCAGTCTCCATCTGATTCTAATAGCATACAGCTGTGGAAGTTAAGACATCCCGTGATTTATGTAGGGATTGACTCGAGTAAGCCTGGTAGTTTGTGAGCTGGGAATATTAGCTGTGTTTCATTAAGCACAAGGCAAACCTTCTGAAGTCCATGGAATGAAAGAACAAGCTATTTTGGGAGGGAGAATCTGGAGAGTGAATTGCAGCGGGAGACGTAGGCGGTGCATCTGAATTGCACCAGAATCGAAGTCTGTGTAGGGTTCTGAGTATTGTAATAATAATAATAATAATAATAATAATAATAATAATAATAATAATAATAATAATAATAATAATAATAATAATAATAATAATAATAATAATAAAGTTGGAAGGGACCTTGAAGGTCACCTAGTCCAACCCCCTGCTCAGGCAGGAAACCCTATACCATTTCGGACAAATGGCTGTCCAGTTTCTTCTTAAAAACTTCCAGTGTTGGAGCATTCACCGCTTCTGGAGGCAGGTTGTTCCACTGGTTAATTGTTCTCACTGTCAGGATGTTTCTCCTTAGTTCTAGGTTGCTTCTCTCCTTGATTAGTTTCCACCCGTTGCTTCTTGTCCTGCCTTCAGGCGCTTTGGAGAATAGCTTGACTCCCTCTTCTTTATGGCAACCCCATTGTCGTCCTATGCTTGAAACCCTCTTCTTTTTTGACGAAGGACAGACTCTTATAATGTGAAAGCACTGCAGTGCATTGTCTCTTTCGGATCAGCGTGTTTACATACAAGAGCGCATATTTGGTTTGTTGGAGGAAATGCCTTTAAGGACAAATAACTTTAATTAACCAGCGGTGCTTAATCTCATTCCGTGCTTGACCTGAACTTAAGGAAGAAAAAAGAAAAAAAAGTTGAGAGGAGGGAGAGAGACATCCCGGTCATTTACAAAAACCAGAGTGGAAGCTTCTTAGAACATTTAAAAAGTAATAAAATTACAGCCAGAGCGGATCCATTAGGGAGTTCCTGGATAAGGCAGGCAAATCTGTGTTTCTTTTCTTTTCTTTTTTTTTTATTGAAAGTTTTATAAAAATTTTACAATATAAATCCCCCCCTCTCCCCAAACCCAACCCTCCATCCCTCCCCCCTCCCTTCCCAGAGCCAATCCCAGGATTAACAATAAAATAATCATGATCTAACTAACATTAATCAACTATTAATCTAACAAATCTATAACTTCCTTTAACTCTCTTTTAAAACAAATACACAGTTATTAAATGCCATAATACCACAGCAGAACGGAGTTAGCGTGTGTCCCATCCATCTGTGAAATGCATGGACAAATTAACAAAAGAGATAAAAGAAAAGGAAGACACAGAATACTATTTAATATGGAACAAGTGGTATGACTGGCTGGAGAGTAGAAATAAGAGGGAATAAATGTGGAAAGGTTAAAAGTGGAAAATGTGTGTCTAATAATGTATGAAGGAAGAAAAATGCAAATAAGAAATAATGGGGCAACAAGGACAAATACTCTAAAGAAGAATAAGGGGGGAAATGTAAATAATAGAAGATTACTGTTACGAAATTGCTGTTAAAATATATACTGTGTATATATGTGTGTTATGTTTTGTTTTGTTTTGTTGGTTTAAATAATAAAAAT